GTCCATGTCCTGGCCCTACAACTGGGCTAGGGAAGCTGGCCCAGGACTCCCATCACGTCTCCATGGGATCCTGGGGAAAGCTGTTGGATGGGAAGTCTGCTGGACCCCTTTAAAGTGATTTCTTGGCACTTGTAACCATAGACACTTGAAAATGAACATTTTACAGAGTATGACATTCACGTCCCAGGGCCAGCATGTAGCTCTTCAGCACTGCAAAATAAATGACCCTTGAGCTCAGTAAAACTACGTCTGATTTCAGATTGAAATGACCTCAAATCCCGAGTCTGTCTCTCCAAGACATTCATCTTAATGTGGGTTTGATTTCTTGTCCTCTCACATCACAAAGATGCTAAACCAAGGACTTCCTTATGACTGAAATGCTGAACTGCTTTTTAAACTGTTTACAGGGAGTAGAGAAAGGATAAACAATGCTGGTAACAATGGATATTGTTCAAGGATGGAGGGCTTCTTTTGAAAAGATCTCATTTATTTTTCATCACTTAGGTGGTTTGATTAACTTTGGCGAATTTTACTGCATTTGGCTAATGATGGCAGGCTGTTTTTATGGCCCCTTGAGCAATTGCTTTCCCTTTCTGGTTCTCAGGCACAATTCTCCCTGGGCTCACAAAGTCCTTTTACAACAACAATAAAACCTGAATTAAAACATAAAGAATATTTTATTTCTTCACCACTTTTTAAAATACATTTTGAAATTTGGACCTAACACGACCTGACAGTTTGGATAGGCAGACTAATAATAAAAATGCCCATCAGACATGTTCTTTATAGTCCTATATGGATACTTTAAATATAAAGCTTTCTGAAGTGCTCACAATCGAAATTAATGTGACAGCAAGAGTGAGAAACCTCGAAAAGGAAGAGAAGAAAGGGCTTTTTTTTTTGTTGGCTGGTGGTAGGGCTTTTTTCTCTGATTGAAAATCAAGCTTGAATATATATATATATGTATATATAAAGTAATTCTAATTACTCTCATTTCAGTGCTATAGTCTTTGAATTTTATATCTACTTGTGTACCAGTCAATTGCTTAGATCCTTTCTAATCAGTTAGTATGCTCAGTTTATATTTGTTAGAGAACAAATTACTTGGTTTAGGCAGAACCACAGAACCACTACGGCAAAAATGGAAAGCCCCCATTAAGAAAAACCTGTCTTGGAAGCAACAGATGGGCACATAAACTGCTTCATCTGTTGAGAATATAGTTATATAGGGCAGGCAACAACTAAAGGTGACTGAAATGCTGATGATTGGACCTACAAGGGTAACTTCTATGCACCACTTAGGAATCGTACTCCAGCACAAAATGCCACAAAAGGAAAATACAAGTTGACATTTGTAAACTGAATCGATTTTCATGTAAAAGGAGGGGCAATTTTACCCATCCTTAACTGCAGAGTCACTATTCCAGTATTTCGCAACTCTGCCATCTTATGTCTGCCAGACTGTCTTCTGCCATGCAGAGTTACAGTGAGGGTTGCTTATTGTTTCCTTTCTATAATTTTTTTCTTTTATAAATGGAACAATTTTGTGGCTAGATAAGGGAAAAAAGTCAACAGCCCCCCACAAGCGACAGGACTCTATGGAGCAGATTTTGGACTCAACAGAATGCCCACTCTAAACCAAAATAACTGCCTGACATTGAGGGGCTTTTGTACTTTTAATCACCAATTGCCATTGGAAGAACCCCAGATATGTTTAAGGCTCCACTCCTACAATGAATTCCCTGTGGGTAGACCTTTGTGCCTGTGCACAGCCCCACTGCAGTCTCTGGGAGTCACCACGGGCAGACAAACCTAAATTTCTAATTGCTGTACAGGAATACAGACTGCAAGGGGCCTCCCAGGATCATCGAGTCCTGGCCCCAGGTGCCATGTCAAATAAGCTTTTTTCAATAAACTTTCGGGTTACATTTTAAGGTGGAATTGCTCTATTTACCCCCACTACTACGACTTTGGGTCGGAGGAGAGAAGGACGTAGGATCACCTTTTTTTGATAAAATGTTGGAAGCACATTTGATCAAAATAATACTTTATGTTATTTTCTTTAAAAAGTCAGCAGTGTAATGAACATAGGACTGGGTTTTTTTTTTTCAGAAGATACAAGAGAACTCTTACATGGCTCTTGTGTAGCAGCACATACATATATTAATTTCTGAGGTCAGCAAAGGCACAAAGGAGATGCTGCAACCACAGCACATGCCTACACGACTTCATATGCACATTGTGCAAATACATCTCACCTGCCTTGATTTTGTTATTTAAAAAGTAATAAAACATCTGCAATAAAATGTCTCACCAACACAAAGATGTGCAAAATTGCAGACACTGCAAGGGCACTAAATGAGGCTGGGGGTTTGCTCTCACCTCCAAGGAACACTTTTAATGCTTGTTGGAAAAGTCTGTGCCTTGGACATGGGTAAGGCAGGCAGAAGGCACAGAGCTGTCCCTGCAAACAGTCGTGCACCAGTACCTCTGTCCAGTGCCCTCCAGCAAATATCCTACTGCCTTTGCCCTGGGAACTGGTCACACTGCCTTGGGGTTTTCTTCCAGGCCTTTGTTTAAGTGCCAAAGAATCAGATTTACTTAATTTGATCCAAACGACACTTCCCCTTCTCCCGACTCCCCTTTCCCAGGCAGTGATGGTGACACAGTGCCCATGGGGGCTCATCCCTTGGCTCCCCACGGCACCCACCTGCACGGTCCAAGTTGTCCCCACACAGCTCTCACATAGTGCTGCCCCACTGCACTTGCAGCATGCGTGTTAAGAATGATCTAAACTGGGAATTGACTTTTCTTTGTGTCCAATTTTTGCAGTGTTACAGCACACGAGTAACTGTCTTTTTAAAAACTAGTCCGGGTAGTTTGATGCTCTTGCTTGTCTTGTAAACCTCGCGCATAAACGCTCTGCATTTAAAAGGTGGGTTTCTCAGCAGTGTTCTTGCAAGCTGGGACAAGCTCCAGTGGGCCTCTGCACCCTCAGGAATTCCAAATAATATTAGTTTACTCCAAAAAAAAAAAAGGCTTTATGGTATTTGTGGGGCCATCCTGGGTAACTGTGTTTCTCTTCAGGCCTCCACTCTTTCCCTGCAATGCCAGTGGATGCGTCACATTCCTCAGAGCCTGCACCTGCCCGAGAAATGGGAGCCCCCTCATGTCCCTGGGCTGCCGGCCCACACACCGTGTGTGAGCCCAGCCAGCTCCAGGCCTTCCCACCCCGGCAGAGTGGGACACGCAGCACCTTCTCCCTTTTGGTCTGTCAGTCATGTTGCAAATACGTTCACGTCACTCAGCTGGTTCCACGCCGCAGACACCAGTGATGTGACGGGTCACATGTGATCTGTGAGTGTGCTTGGTCTGACGGGGAGTTTTCATAGGGAGAAAGACATAGAAGCTGCTCAGTTGCTGCACTCCTGTTTACTCTCTTTACGTAAAGCCCCGAAGATACACAGGAGGCTCTAGATCATATAAGCCCACAGGTTTTGCATACAGTTTTGTGTTATAAAACCTATGGAAAAGGGATAATTAGGTGGTACGCTGGCAAAACAGTAACTCAAACTGCACTGAAATGCCACTTCATTCACACAGAGCACAGTAACGCTGAGCATTACACGGTCACATCCTGTTTTCCCGAGGCACACACATACATCCTGGAGTGCAGCAGGCTGGATATGGCAGAGCCCATAAATCAGCAGGACATGTTACACGGGGTCAGCGAGCCAAGGACTCCGAAAGCTGCATATTGATAAGGATGACTGATGAGAAAACCTGGATGTTGTGTTTCTGCGTCAGAAATATAAACTTCTGTCTGGATGAACTCGGGGCTTGGGATGGAGAAGGTGTTCTGGATTAGTCTGGAGGAGACTAAGATGGAGCTTTAGCCCACCAGAGCCAGGATTGCCATGAGACCCTGGGAGTCAGGGCCAGGGGAAGGCAAGGGGATTCCAGGGAAACCATGCAGTACCTAACAGTCAGGTAAGTGATGAGATAACCGTACCTGCTGCCAAACATTTCCTCCACCTCAAAGTTAATTCAACTGGGCAAAATGTGACATTTAGCAAACCAACACTGCATTTAGTGTATGAATAGCTGAGATACAGTGTATTTTCACTGGGATATTTCTCTGCCAGGAGCATTCCTCTGTTGTAAGGTTTCTGGGCTATGTCTCCAATCCCCATTATGCAGGGTAAACACACCCTAGATAACACCCCTGGCCAGAGCCCATAAATGCTATGGTTTCCAGTGCTGAATTATAAAGAGAAAATGACAGCTTCTCTTTGCTCTAAGCTACTGTATTTTACCAGGAATTTGAACAAGCATGGCCTGTCTGTATCACACGTTCATGACAGTATTTGCTTTTCTGAAGTTATCTCAGCAAAAATTCTCAGGTTCGACCTGAAAGAAGTTCTTTTGATTTATTTGTGATGCAGTAGACACAGTGCTAGGTTACTAACAAATGTTCTTGGTAAATATATGATGATTAATATTAAGGTTCAAGCCCTACTGGAGCAAATGCAACATTACAGCCAACTTCATAAAACTACTCTTGCAGGTAAAAATCGAAATAAAATTAAAAACTTCCTCAAAAAAATTAAAAAAAAAAATCTAATATGCACACTTTCTATGCAAATCCTTAGTTTTCTTTCTGTTGGGAAACAGATTAGGCTTTAACTTAGAGTTCGAGTACTGAATTCTTGCCAAGAACACCATGCAATTTGGTACACCTGCTAAACTAGGTCAGCAGTGAGACAAGCGCCACAGCGAACCCTGCCTGCTTTCACAGAGGCCTCTCACTGCTGCAAGCAGGGAAAAAGAGGGCAAGAAAGGAAAATACAGTCCTGCAGTGAAAGGAATATTACACTGAGCAGCAGCAAATGCAGAAACACCGGGTGTATTCCGTCAGACTTAACCCTGGAAAGCATCCTCACAGGGTGGGGAGCAAAGGAGCACAGCTGGAGATCAGCGGACACGAGGGCAACACTTACTGATTCAGGATCCCTCTGCTGTTCAAGGAAAGCCGAAAACTCCACCAGCCTGAGCTTGGTCGTACCAATTGATCGGCCCTGCCACGCAGGGACTGAGGGAGCTGGAGCTGATGTAGGCTCAAATCCTGAAATAAAGGAACCATTTTCATGAAGAAGTTGACAATTTCTCAGTTTATATTTTCTCAGTTAAATATAATTGGGAATTATGCGTGTAGCCCTTGGATATTTATATTAATTTTAGCAAATAATTAAATCAAAATGAGCTAAAACTGGAAAATCTCAGAACAACATGTAGAAATAGAGGTTCCAATCCAGCAAGCTAATAATGAAAAGATCTACTACTTTGTTTCCTTTGGGCTGTAACTTACCATAGAATTTTTGTTTAAATTATATACTAGATTATAGAGATTTATAGAGACTTCACCTAGACTTACAGCTGACCGACCCTTCCTTGGAAACTGGCATCAAGACTCACAGGAGATATTACTGCCTTGTGAGTCAAGAGGACTGGCCTCCATTTCTGGCTCCTAATGTGCCACATGTTACAAGTAAATCACCTCCCTTTTTGCCTATTTCTTCTGCCACTCTCAATTCCCCTCTCCTATTTGAAGTACAAGCTTTCCAAGGCAGGGACTGTCTCTTAGTACGTATTTGCACATTGGGTCTTGACTTCTTTTGGAGCTTTTAGGCAGCATTATATTACAGCTAATAATAAATAATTACTGTAGAGAGCTGAATCATACCCTAAAAAGAAAAAGAAGATTTTAAAATTGATAATAAAGAGAGAATGGCATGATCTAGATAGAGAAGGGATGTTAACCAGCATCTCTAATTCACCTCAAGAGAAGGAATAAATGCTATCTTTTGGTCCTCATTGTAGAAAATTAGATGAGAAGGAAAGAAAACAGCAAAGGAAGAGGGAAAGGCAGCAGCTCAAAGGCAAAACTCATCTTGGGAGAGACACGAGCACAAGGAAGGCAGAGGAGAGGGACCAAAGGTAAGAGAACAAAGATAATCCTGAACTAGGTTGAGAACCAGGGAGAGGCCACAGGTAGCATGTGCCCATATCCCATAATGGGAGTGTGGTACCTGATCCCAACCCTCAAATTTAGGCAGTGAAGGTGAGAGGCTTGTACAAAACAGGGAATTATGAATTGGACTAGTTAGACATGAACAGGATTCTAATGAAGCAAAAACTCATGCACCAGTTTTGACTGATTTGGAAATACTAATAATCCTATTCTCAGAGAAAACATTAAAGAATACAAGAAGACCATACATTGCCTTAGAAAATAATGTTATAAATTAGGAATATCAGGAAAAAGGACATAATCATGAATGCAGAAAGATACCCGTAGTTTTAAGCATTAAATAGCACGTTAGAAAATCATAAAAAACTGGGTAAGAGTCAAAAAACTGCAGCACAGAGACAGAAAGATGGTGACATTTGGCAAGGGAGATGTAAAATGAGGTATCATCTGCAAAGAAATAATGATATTTCCTGAAATTAGACATGAAACCGACTTGGGAAAAGGAGCAGAGAAGTAGCCATGGGAAGGGCTTGATCGATTGGAGCAACAGAAGTCAGACTAAACATTAGGTACTTTTTAAAGTGGTAGGAGGCAAAGCAGGACCTTCAGGAGGGCAAGAGTTATAAACAAGCAGATACATAGAGGTGTTTTATACTTAAGGCTAAACATATATGACTTTGGAAGGGTTTTTAGGCTCAGTTTAAAATAAACTAAGGTGTATTCTTGTCAAATAGCCATTAAAAAAGAAACATGCATCCTATTACTAATTTTTTACAATAATTCCTACAGCACGGAATGCTGACTGGCTATCATGTATCACAACTCCTTGCACGTGTATTAGTGCTTCCTACCTAAAAAAAATTAAACTCAATGATTTTCTCTAAGACATAATCAGATAATAGGACACTGGGATTGGTGTTTGGTTTGGCTAGAGGGAATGTGAGATCAGAAGTAGTGGCCCTGCCCGCGTCAGAAATTAACACATCGCATTCAGTACAAAATTCAAGTATTTTTAAGGGAGAGGATAAATGGAAGGATTACCTGAAATGGGAGCTGTGACTGATGGCTGTATAGGATAGGCCTGCTGAACGAATGGCTTTACACTGGAATAAAGAGTTACACAGAAATCATACACCATGCCATCCACAGTAAATTCCAGCAGAGTCACATAGTGTAACAACATAAGTGGGTAATGACCTTTACCCACAAACATCTCTCTTCCTTGCATAGCATATTTAACAGACATACAGCAAAGAGATAATAGAGAGGGGGTGGAATGAGGATTACACCTTAAAGTGAGGGGCTCATCTGCACTGAGTCACGCAGCAGGAAACCTGACCCGTCCTCCACAAGTGTCACAGTAGCCATGGATGGTGACTGCTTTGACTCCCAGTAAATCCAGAGGACACTGAACTACAGGGGCACAAACACTCTCAGGGACCTTAGTGGAATGAGGTGAGCAGAAGCTGAAAAGTAAGGCTGGAAAACATTGCTCCAGAGACCACGGCAGGGCAGAAAACGTAACACTGGCCAGAGGGGACAAGGCCTCCTCCTCCATATGGTGCTGTTGCTACCACAGTGCTGAAACCCCACTAATGGGCCTCGTGCAGGAAAATAGGTCCCCCTTGCCTCCAGCACTGCTGACATGTTTAAAAGTGGATGGATTTGTACTGGAAACATATTCACAGAGAAAAAACGTTACTAGCTGCTTCCCTGGCATTATCATTGCATCTCACGGTGCAACAGGAGAAAAAGGAGGGTGCCCATCTTACAATTTTCTGAATGTGAGTTCGCATCACTGTAAAGATTCTTTCTTTTCCTACAACTATCTTTGCCTCCTTTTTGGAAAAAATTTGCAAGTTCTCGCTTTCCTGATATCTTCTGGCAAAGTGCACAAGCCAGCCTCGCACTGCATAAAGAAGCATATTTTAATTTTCAGACTTACTCTTGTGAGGATCCAGGCTGCCCCGTTTGAATCATGCCCGGCCAAAACTGAAAGAGGAAAAACAAACAAACAGACCCACAGTTGTTCTCTTTGATAGAAATATGTTTTGGATATTTTTGAACAAGCATGATTCCTTTTGCAAACATAAGTGAAAGCATTAATCCATTCATTCCGCCTTAGTTGTCTACTGAACATTATTAGAGAACACAGGGATTTTTTTGGGACTCGGCTAACAACTTACCCCAGGTGCCCCAGGAAATGTAGGACGGGGAATTCCTGGCAGGCCCAGCTTGTTGTGAATAGCAGTAGCTGAGACTATCTGAGCTGATGACATTGCTGCCATGTGCTGGAGTGCTTTGTCCTTTGCTGTCTGATCCTTTAATATGACAATTACATGGAGTCTTAAAACATTTGGCACAACAAATGATGTTAAATAACTGCAGCTACAAGCACATAACTAAAAACTTAAAAAGCCACACAGAAAATGCAAAAATAGCAAACCATGCAGGAAAAAAAAAAAATACAGCACGGAGGCTAACACTCAAACTACCTCAAGGCAAAACCTCCTCTCAGACATGCATGGTAGACCTGAATTCTCACAGTTTGCTCTGCCAACATACAGGAAGCTCTTGGAGAGCAAACTACTGCCCACTTGTTTAACTGGGCAAATTCTCCTGATTTTAAATCAGGTTCGACTAAACAGGGCGCGCTGCTAAGGCTCAGCTCTGCCTGCAGGACAGGGAGCACTGAGATTTGAGCTCTATCATTTTGATCTAAGAGAAGTTTGCCTTTCGTATCACACTGTAAAATGAGAGCACGGAACTGCGACTGACTCGCAAACAGTGACAGATTTTCCTTCATGCTCACAGGTATAGAGACATTTTGGATTCGGTTTTTCGACAGCTAGCTTAAAATTTAGATCACAAACATGTAAGTAACATTTTAAATTTTCAGTTGCGGTATTTTACTGATTGTACAGTGTTCCCAAAGAAAACTATCAGCTATAAAATTCCTGCTGTTTTCAAGCACACAGGAATGAGTTTAGGAAAAGATGAGTTGTTACTTGTGTTAGAGCAGCGCTTGGAGTCCTAGTCACTGCCAATCATGTATGATCACAGAATAGAAAGGGAAAGCCTCTTAGTGCAACAGAGTTAACCAAGGGCATATCTTAGGTCAGGCAAAACAAGTAAACAACAGACTGTTACTATCTGGTAAAGTGGGGTTCCTCACTCAAAAGTACTGTATTAATAAGTACTAATATTTAGGTATGTGACTTAAAATGAAGGAACACAAGCAATATTAGGCAAGGATTTTTTTTTTTCTGGTTTTATTTTACAAGCAAAGTAGCAAGCATGCTGGCAAGAGATGCATGCTTTTATGTATGATATATGACTTTGCACATATGCTCCCTCTAAAGCTTGTATGTAGTAGTACTATAGGTGAGCAGTTTCTTCCTTTGAATAGCTCCTTCAGAAACAGCACAGGCTGAAAGTACAGGAAAAGCTAGCCAAAAATTCTGCCAAGCACAGCTAAGGTACATAATACTTGGTTTAGTCAAAATACTTACCATGCTTGTTACCTGGATACAACAACAAACAGTTTATTAAAATGCTTGTGTAGAATAGCAGATTCTTAGCAAAATATGAACAAAATAGTAAGAGACAAAGGAAGAGCAGTTTGCTCAATATTAAATATCAGCTTTAAACAAATGCATTATTTTCACCTAGGGACTGATTCATTAAAAGGTGGGGGGGAAAAAGGATTAAGAAAATAACAGCAAAACACTGAGGAGAAATAACCCACAGCTCCCTGTGAGGAAGCTGCGGGTGCTGAATGAGGGGGATTGTTGCTGAGTGTGTGTGTTTCCCTGAGCTGTGTGAGGAGCCCCTGTGGGACACAGCCCAGGAGAGCAGCAGGTGGAGCAGGGCAGTGGCTGCTCCAACATCATTCCCTCTGCACCTCGAAGGATGTGAGCCTGAAGGGCAGCCCTCGGATGCCTGAGAAGCTCTGACACCCGCGGGCTCACCTGCGCTGCCTCCTGTGCCAGCACTGCACTCCCAGGCACCGCCTTCCGACCGGTCTGAGCCTTGGGATCCCCTCCCCAGAGCTCAGGGCAGCTTCTCTCCCGTCACTGACATATGGACAAAGCTCGGCCATCTCTCCAACTTGTAGCTTTCCCATATACAACCACAACCAACTTGCTGGTTAAGGGCTGGAAGTCAGCCCTGGTTCTGTCAGCTACTGGCACTCGCCTCTGCCTGCCTCAGGGTGGGAGGGTATGAACAGGAGGTCTGTGCATGGCATGTTTTATTGGCTGCCTTTGGATGTCTGCAGGCCACTGGGCTAAAAAAATGCTTTGGTGAGTGTCAAGAGGCGGCAGTGTCCTGAGATTCATGCAGCTCTCCAGACCCCTCTACCTTCTTGTACAGTAAGGACGGACCCTCCATCATGAAAATGAGATGTCCTTAAGCAATTTGGAGATCTAGCTCCACCAGACTTCCCTGATCCATTTCTCCCCTTTTTTTGTAAGGGGAGCTGGCTTGGAAATGCCCAACCATGTAAGTCTCACACACAGCCTGTTGAATCACAACAAAACCAAATGTACAGGGGATGGATACCTTGTGTGTGTCTCTGGGTCCTAGTAACTTCCAAAACTGCGTGAGCCCTGCTTTCGTGACTACCTTGTTATTTTCCAGAAGTGCTGTGGGCACTACAGGTTCCTCTCCTGCACTGCCTCCTGCCCTGCCATCAGCTGTGCCAGTGCCATCACACGAAGGTGCAGCCAGTGCCTGTGCTCCTGCCAAGTTCCCAGACTCATGCTCTTCTGCTGCTAAAATGGCCTTACTATTGGATGGGTCTAAACTAAAGAAGCATTTGAAAGTAAAAGTTTTGTAAGGGATAGAAAAGTCCATTCCTGGGAGGTTTTTTCTTTCATGACGTGAAATGGGATGTGTGTTCCTTTTTGCCAGTTGCTGGTTTTCACCCTAGAATGTTCTGCATTTTGTGGTGGCCATTCATTTCATCCTCTTTTGATCGATTGCATTATCAGGAGGATGGAGAGAAAGAAAAAAACATTTGGAATGACAGCTCAGAAATACAGTCCTTGCAATTGGGCCAGTTTTGAGGAGTTTCAACAACTCCTACAAAGTTTCCCACTGGTGACAAATCTGCCAGCTCCACGGGACATGGACTCAGGCCAACAAACATCAATGGGGAGTTTCATCTTTTGTAGGTTTAGGAATCTCTGCACAGTTGGAAGATCAGTTTTTCTCAAAGTAACTGTAACTTCACATTCAAACATGAAAGAAATCGAAGTCAGATACAAATAAATAAGAGATCCCAACTTCCCTTGGCAAAAGAGCACCTTCAGCTACATTTTGGAGAGCTGCAAGGTGATGGACCATGCTTATGTAACTGGGCAGGCTTCATAGTCTTCAGAAACAAATGAGACAACCACATTTTAAAGCTGCTTATTTAGATTGCAATATTAGCTTGTCTGCCACTTAAAAACAAGTATATGTTGGGGTTTTTTATGCTGCAATGGAGAGCACTTGTAACCAGGAGGGAATGAGTCTTTCTACCTATCACTGCACGGCGGCCGCTTCTGGGATGAAACTTGGTAACTGATTAATAACACACAGTGGTATTACATCACAGTTTAGGCAGCAAGAGAAGTAATATATCCAATTAAAATGGCAGGGGTAATTTAAACAGGCAGATTACAGTAATTACCCAGGTTGGAATTTGGCCAGGACAAATGGGTTAACACCCCTACTCTAAACAGGAACGTTCTGAGATTTTTAATGACTGCAAATAGTTAAGATTTTGATTTCCTATCTTGTCCAAGACAGAAGGGGTTTGGGTTTGCTCTCACTTGTGCTGCTGTGTAAAGCTGGAAGAAATTCTTTCAGGTTAATGAGGTTTAAACTGATGCAGTAAAATAAAAGTTTGGCCCAGTGTGCTGCAGTCCCGTGCTGAAGTTCAGCAGAGGCTTGGGGGGACAGTATCTCCTATTAAATCATTAAATACTGCTGGAGCTTAAGGTATTCCTTGGATAGGTCCCATCTGGCCCTGACCTGGTTTGACCCTACGTAATTTATGAGGTAGATGGGATTGCTGCTGCCCAGGAATGACACAGAAAGCAACAGGCTGCACACCCAGACTCCTGCCTTCCCTTCCCCTTATAAAAGTCTTCTCCTGTACTGTGCTAAATAATTAGTAATGAATGTTCCAAGGTGGATTTAGACTATAATCAGTGGAAAACTGTTCTAGTAGCACTAAATCCCTAAAATATCATCTCTGTAATAGAGATCAAGGTCTGCCTCTTGTTTTAGCCAATCGCTTCTGGCTGCAGTTGCACACACTTTGTTTTTGAAAGATGTAAGCTCTAAGAATCTAATGCAAGGAGACTATAACTTTTAATGAATCAGGCCCTTAAGGTTTACTTTTCACTGATTAGTTTTGGAATGCAAAAAACATAGTTAAATTAGATAACAATAATTCCCCAGTATCATCCAATTATAATTCTTAATATCTGTAAAAGCCCCACATGAAACAAGAGTTCTACATGACAAGCACAAAAGGATTTGTGCTTGACTTTCTTTTAATCCAACATAAACAGAAGAATAATTCAATCAATCAGTTCAAACAAGTTCTAGAGCAAGAAATAAAACCTGTTATCCTAGCATGATAAATGGGGCTTTGAATACCATGGGAGAAAAAAAAATCTAAGACAGTATGAGGAAAAGTAAGCACAATAGAACAGTATTAAATCAAGAAGCCCTAAAACCTGTACCCATATGTAAAATACAAAACTTTTCATGTAAAGAAAAAAAAAAGACATAAGAGAAGAAACAACAATTTGCTCACAAAATGGATGTTACAGTAACACTAACATAAAATAGATTCCTAATAAGCAATTTTGCAGATGTTATTTCTGCTCGGATCTCGTATTGATTCAAATAACCTTTGCAATAATTAGCTGTAGCTCAAAAAAGATAAACAAATCATGACAATATACAATTGTTCTGGACAAAAGATAGAGAGCACTTCAGTGTTTCTAGCCCTGATCTCCAATTTGCTTATTATTAGAGAAGACAGGAGTAAATACAAAAGCTGGCTATTTCAGCCAGGCAATAGCTAATGCCAAGAAGAGAATGCGCATTCAAAGCTGTCCCAACTTGCTGCCTAATGAGTAGCAATTAATCCATCTTATTGTATTTCAAAATGCTGAAGACTCCATTCACATCAAAGGGAATTTTTCAAGGCTTTTATCATTGTTCATTTAAAAAGTATAGAGCTATCTTTAGCATTTTATAATTGACAACAATATTTTTCTTTTTATCCCTCAATGCAGGATGTAGAATAATGGATTTTTAAACATGTAATACATGTGAACTGTAGGCATTTTAATGTCTCTTTTTGTTTCTGTCTAATTAATCTTGCACTATGAAAAAAAAATCTGATATGAAAGCCTAAGATAGATGTATATCCTGCTGTGAACACCTTTACTCTCTGTTTATGTACAATGTCCAATCCATCCTTTCTCCCGAATGGGCAGAGATGACTTTGGCTCCCTGTCAGTGCAAAAGTGGGAAATGCTGCAACCTAACACTATGGACTGGTGTATTTGACAGGGAAATACAGCATTAGAGTGCAAAAATTCTGCTTTGCCTCCTCCAGTCTCTGCGTGAGAGGAAATGCCATGAAGAGGAGCCGCCTTTCAGATCTGCCTCCAAGGACAACTTTATCTCAGCCTCTCTTCCCGTTTTCATGAGATTAAATTTCTCTTAACTTCAGGAAGATTTTAATAACCTCAGTAAATTAAGATTAAAATCTCTAAAATAGAAGTATTTTCCAGCTGTAAAAAAAAATTAAAATATATGACATCCCTGGAAGGGCTGAGGGGACATTCTTTTCTGGTGGTCTTGAAACGCAGCAATAGCATTCATGGGCACAACTTTGCTCTCTTGCAGGATAAGGATCCATCCATCCACAGCAACTGCAGGCACTTCTCATCAAAGACAAGGGACTCTGCTGGACCAAGCAGACTTTATGGCAAGCAGGTGAGATTTCAACCTATTAGGTAAGTTTCAGCAAGAGTCTGTCCAATGCCATAGGTGTGGATAGCTCCGAAATCCTTCCATCCCTTTGGATTTTTGCAGAAGATAAACACAAGAAGAGTTGTCCAAATCCTCTCCTCGCCATGAGCAGGTTTCAGACCAAGGTAAGACAGTAAGATCTCTTGGTATAAAATAAACTCAGCTGGCACCTGGGGAATGAGGGTTATTTGTATTTACCCTTCATCAAGCTAAGAGGCCAGGAACAACGGGACTAAGAGGCCCAGGTTAGTGGGACAGATCAGATCGGCCACATCTTAAAAGAAAATTGACATCAGATGCACGTGAGGGCTCTTTTAAGTAGTAACTACTACCCTGGATACCACTGATCACAGATTTTACAGAGTAATTGCAAGTGCCAGCTCATTGTTAAAAGGGTGAGTTGGCCTGGGTAGGAAGCATAGAATCATAGAGTGGTTTGGGTTGGAAGGGACCTTAAAGATCATCTAGTCCTAACCCCTATGCTGTGGGCTGGGACCAGGTCCATTAGACCAGGTTGCTCAGAGCCCCATCCAGCCTGGCCTTGAACACCTCCAGGGATGGGGCAGCCACAGCTTCTCTGGGCAATCTGTTCCAGTGCCTCACCACCCTCACAGGAAAGAATTTTTTCCTAATATCTAATCTAAACCTACTCTCAATTTGAACCCATTCCCTTTGTCCTGTACATGCTCATGTAAAAAGTCACTTGTGTAAAAAGGAGCACTTTCTGTCTTCCTCTTGGTCACTCCTTCACCAGGAAATGTGGGCAGCATCTGCTGCATGAGAGCAAGAGCCCATTATCTTCCTGAAAAGGTTGATGGGGCAGCCCAGGCTGCTGCCAAAATGGTCCTTGTTGAAACAGTCGGCACTCAGAGGTGCTGCAATGTGTTCATTCACCTGTCTTCCTTTTGCATCAGTGATGTCCTTCTCAGGCAGTTTTCAAAGTCCTCTGCAACCTGCTCTATGTGAAACTGCTTTAGCAGGAGCGGTTGGACTAAATGATCTCCAGAGGCTCTTTCTGATCCCAGCCAGTCCATGATTCTGTGTGACACTGGACCATGCAGGCGGTTCAATACAGGAACAATATGAAAAACGGGCGGTAGCACTAACAAAATATCTGGAGGAGCAAGGTTCCACCTCAGGTTCAAAACCAGCAGCTTCTACCACTTGCAGGGAGTAACTGGAGCTCCCCAGGAGGAAGAGCAAGAGCTCTCTTCTTCATAAGGCAGCTCCCTTATGGCACCTTCTTACATGCAACTTTCATCTCTTCCATGTGGGGAGGAAAAGCTCTGTGGGAGGCTGCCCCTTCTCCAGAAGGGATCTGTGCAAGGGGGCAAGTGTCATGCCATGGCTCCTTCTTCGCTGGGACCAAGAATGGCAAGGAAAAGATGAGGGAGGTGTGGAGAGCCTGGTTCCTTCACCCTTCCTGAGCACCCCTCAGGCTTGGGGCTCTGGAGGAGTAACCAAGGCTGTGTCAGGGTTCCTGAGGGAGCTAATCCTGGGAGCAGGGGTAGGACAAGCAGCCTGGACCCATCAGCCAGCAAGACCTGCTGGGGAAGGGCTGGGGTAGTTTTTGCCATCAGTGATGCAGGAGGACAGCAAGGCCAGGGGCCAGCAAACCTCTGTCACCGGTGTGCACTCTGTCCCCACCATGGTGCCGCAGAGAGTTGAAGCAAATGTCCCTGCAGAGTGTCGGGGCATGGAGGCAGGGAATCTTCCTGAAGCCATCAGTTCCTAGCAGTAAAATGGCAGCTCCCCCACTTTCTACTCAACACTGGGGGAGCTGCAGCCCATGGACAGGTGAGAAAGGGCAGCAAGGTCTGGAGACCTTACAAAATACTTTGTTGTCCAAACAGATCTTTCCTTCTTCAGGCAACTCCTTAAAACGAAAATTCCCTCCAGATCTCTATTTACTGCAAATGTCATCTAAGATAGGGGTCTCAAATATTCTTAGGGTTTGGTTAATTCTTTCTTCTTTGGAAAGCTTCGATAAAAATTAGACAGCAGGTGCAGTACTTAAAAATGTTTTTTGCTTTATAAGTGTCTTCATATTTTAAGCTATTTTGGTCTTTCAGAAAGGGAAATATTTTAGAGCAGTAAATCCAATATTTGTGTTCGGCTCCTAGGCCTGTATTTGGCACCTAAGCGGGCTTCCTGATTTTTGCAGCTCTCACCAGTCCTCTAAAACTCCAAGAGCTGCTGGTGCTTGGCACCTCTGAAAGCAAGGCCACCTATTTAACGTACTTAATTTTAGGCATCAAGGCTTGACAATTTGAGGCTTAAAATGCTACATATCTCTGTATTATTGCACCCTCGGTTAAAAAGCAGTACGTTTAAGTTGTCTTAGTTTGTTCTTTACGAACCCCAACTGCTCAGCCAGTGCAGCTAAAAAGCCAGCCACCAACAGCCAGACAAGCTTGCCAGCATGCTGCCCACTGCGGACGAAAAACCCAGTGCTTCTGTCAAGGAGGCCTGTTACAAAGCCAGGCTGTTATTTACACGCTGCAGTTCAAGGATGGGGGTAAGCATCTGCAGTGCTCACCGCTCAGGGCTGTGAAATTACTTTCTGAAACATTTTGCTTTTCAGCTAGAACAAAAACGTGATTTGTTCTCATCCGGGCGAAGGAGGGGGGAAAAAAAAAAAACTGAACCCACAGAAAGAAAGAAAAAAAAAAGGAAAAAAAAAAAAGGGAAGTAAAAGATTTACAAGTTCCTTCGCTTTTTATTAAAAAAAAAAAAAAAGAAGAAAAAAATCAACGGCAAAAACTGTAAAACCCCCTCTTCCACTTTTAAATAGTGTGAAAACAAAACAGGTCTCAAAGATCTCTGTTGGAAAACTTGAAAAAACAAGCAATTCAAGAAACCCCTATTAAACATTTCCAAGAGTTTCTTTTTAGCCTTAGAATATATTTTACTGAAAGCATGGGAAATAGGGACATGTACAATTCATCATGTCAGATTAAGCAAACATACTTAATATTCCCTGAACAGGACTCTGACTGAGGCTCTCCAAAGACTAAATGTCAATAATTTACTTCAAAAACATTATATTTCAGGGAATCTTGTAAATAGTGGGTAACTGGAGGTGATACTAGATTGTACTCTAGAAACACCATACAGTTAGAGCAATCTAGATAAGCTGTGCTCTCTGGCACTTGGAATAAATGATCTGTTTTAAGAATTCTTGATAGCATTTCAGAAGCACAAAAAACATTTGGGAATGGAAAACAACAACCCCAATTACCCCTCTGAAAAAAGAAAAAAAAAAAAAAAACAAAAAAAAAAGAAAAAGCATCTACACAACTGCGTAAAACCCCTGTGCATTTAAACACACTTCTAACCACTCAGTTGTTAAAAAGTGAAATAAAAAATGGACTAATGGGTTAAAAAATCAGGTTTAGGTGCTGAGCTGTTACAAAGAGTAGTTCACTTTGCATTTGGACAGTGTTAAAACAACGTTTTTAATGTGGATGCTAGTGCAGAAACCGGAGATTAAACACAAAGAGACGCAGACAGCTCCCACATGCAGGAAAAGGAGGTTACAGGCACAGCAGCCCCAGCGCTCGCCCATCACCGCGGGGAGGAGGAAGGGACAGGCATAGCAACCACAAGCCCAAAAGCAGAAAAGCGCATACCTTCAGCTTGGAATGAAAATCACGAGATTTCCTTCTGGCAAGAACCTGAATGTGACTAGACACCTGCAGGGTAGGGGAAGGGAGGAAACAAAGGAAAAGCCTGTAACCATGGAGATGAAAAGCCCCCTACAACTGGGCAAGCCAAACGTACCTTAATGGCGGCTTGAATTTCTCGAACTTTCTTTCTTGCTAAGACCTGTATGTGACTAGACACCTACATTGTTCAGGTTTATAGGGGGGGAAAAAAAAAACAACAAACAAAAGAAAAACAAAAAGCAAATCAAATTTTAAATGTCTATTTTTTAATCTTAAAAAAAAAAAAAAAAAGAAACTTTTCTGAGGGGAGGAAGTTATTTGCATCTTCAGTAAGCTCTGCTGTTAAAGATACCACATTCCCAGCCAGATACCAAGCTCGTAGCACTGAGGCTTAACAATACAGGTCATCACTGCAGTGACTTGATTAAGGAAAAAAAAAAAAAGAAAGAAAGAAAGAAAGAAAAAAAAAACATGTAACCCACCAGGTTGTGCATTCAGCTACAAGATAGAAGACACAGTTCACAGCTGGACGCAGCCCATGTGCTTTGGTACCGATCCCATCCATGCCCAGGCCCGGCGCTCTCGCACGGGGAGCCCACAGGATTTCTACCCCATCTGCTGTGGATGCAGATGCCCGCTCTGACCATTTGCCACTAGGCTTGAGACACTACTTGGCACCAAGAAAACTTTATCCATTATTTATTGTGCTCTGCAGCTCCAATGAGAAGACTCGGGCTGCATTTTGACTCCACTGAAATGCTTTAAATTCTGGCACAAACAATAAAATACTGGCACAACACAGGTCCCTGAACGCATGCTGGCTTCCTCTGTAATCTCAGCATCAAGTCTGCCCACATACACCCATGTAAGTGGGGACCAGTAACTTGACATCAGCTTGAGTGATGCCCAGGTTTGGACCGTGGTCATCACATTTTGTTCAGAAATTTGTGTAAACCCAGACCCACACTAGACCAGTTATTGTACAGAAGTTGTTGTCTGTGCACTGTAGGGTCTGGGAACAAAAATTCACATTCCTGTTTACCCAGGGACATACTGAAATTCATGCTGTTGCTGATGAGGGTTTAACGAGTGAGGGCCCAGCATCACTCAGTAGTGCTCAGCATCCTATGGCCTTCTGTGTGAAGGTTTAAAACCTGCAGTGACAGTAAAAAACACTAAAGGGAAATCTCTTATTCTTGTTTGACCCAGGACATACCATATCAGGTGGTGCTCATTTTTCCTAAGTTAGTTACAATTCCTGTCTGGGAAAGAACAAAGCAAAAAAAAGGAGAAACAATGCTTTCCTCCCTCTTTAAGACTGTTCCATGACAATAGTATCAAAAAGCCTGTATTTTGGTAGGGAAGAGGATAGTAGTGGATCAATGCCCACAGTCCCTGAAGGCCACCTTCAGAGACTTCTTTGAGAAGCAGCTCAGGAACCAGCTTGCAGTAATTCAGAGTTATACTGCTGCTTACTAAGCAATTTTGTAGTCCAGCACATAGACCAAGTTTTCACACATGTCCATTTGTTTTGCTTTCAGTGGAGTATTAGCGATGTTAAAGGTTATACAAGAAGCACAATCGTAACATTTAATTGCTCAGTTAAAACTCCAAAGTAATGACAAAAAAACTTTTCTAAACAGTCAGTCTAAAGTGATTTATGGATCCCTATAGAGGGAGGTACAAGTATGGAGGCAGACATCACCACATGTAAGCCATCACAACCCCCCTGGTTTCTCGGCACATGCTGGCCAAGGATCTAGCTCCAAGGTCTGCATTTTGACTGCTGATGCAACTTTACGATCCCAGCACAACCCCCAACTTTTGGAGCTTGCACGGGCATGGCAGGCAGAGCTTGGGACTCGTCCTTTTCTTTCAGATTTCTTTGCCAATCTTTGGTTTGTTCCTTTTCCACATGCTGCAGTTTCTCTCCTTTCTCGTGTCTTTTTTTCATCCCTCGTACACGTGTTTTTCTTCCTAACTGACAAGGGACACCGCTCAGGGCAAACCAGCACCCAAAGTGCCTTAAGTCCGAGTGCTGGCAGCAGAGTCTGCTGACTCAGAGTCACCTTTCCCTGCACTACAGAACAGGTACATCATGCAGGTGTGCAAGCCCCTGCCATCCCCTTTGTCACACATGTTGGTGAGAGGTGGAATCTTGCACCTGGCGTTAGAGGAAGCGAGGAGACTCCGCAATTTGTGAGGCGTTTTTAGACAGCGCAAGGGTTTAGTAACCAGTGCATAAACTACATGGAGCGTGTGCCTTCTGCGAGGCTGCTGATCGCCAGGAATATTATGAATTAAGGGATTTAGTCACATGAGGTGAATTAATGGTTTTCTGATAATCGTCTGAAAAAAATTTTAAAACTGGTTTGAGGTTTATTCCGTCTCTTTGATGAATGAAATCTTACCGTGGTCACAGACCAGGAGCCTGAAGGCTCTTTGGGGACTTTTTTTATTATTTTTTCATTCTCTGGCAACTAACTGGCCATGAGCTGACAGCATGATTACGATCAGTTCTGCTAGATCGTTTTTATTTATTTACCTCTCATATCCAAGAATCATGATTTCTATTATATTAGCAAATTCTCTTTACTTTTAAGAAGTTCCATTATTCACCATCTAAAAATAATCATTATATTCTGTAGTTATACTATATTATAGAGAAATAAGGCATAATGCTTTATGCTTTTGCTTCAACTTCTGAATTTTTTTTCCCCAAATACAGGGGAATAACAGGTTCATGTACACATAGACTAATAAAAAATTCGTCCTCAAACCACCCCTGAAATGATGATGCACAACCCCAGAGTTTTAAATATTCTCTAAACAGCATGTATTTAATCTGAACAGTGAAGTCAATACATCATCTCATCAGAGCTGAAGCACAGACAGCCACTGCAGCCAAAAATGCCATGTTTTGTCATTCACTGACATGCATACTTCCCCACTGGGTTATTTTACCTGCTTCCTGGTCCGTGTCTTCCCTGTTCTAAGTTTGATGTATCTGGCTATCAATTCATTCCTACCTGAAACAAAGAAAAATTCATGATAAGGGACAAGCAGCATCACATCCATAAATACCATCAAAATAACACATTTTAACATATGACCTGCGTGCAGATGAGGTTAATGTTTTTTTTTTTTACACACACTCCATTTTTCCTTTGCAAACAATTTATCAGTATTTCTCATTGTTAAACAGTATTTCTCTTCCATCTCTTTGACAAGCATTGTAAGTGCCACAGGAACTGTACAGAGGGTTATGAGTTCAGTGTTTCCCCACCGAAGTCCTGCAGCTGTTTGCAGGCAGAGAGGCACCTTTTTGGCCAGCAGTGGAGCACAGGATGATCTCTCACTGGAGAACCTCCCATGCTGGGGGCTGACACAGAGGGGTCTGGGCCCCTCTGGTTTTGCTTCCAACTGCTCTGGGTGGTGTTTGCCCCCCTGGCCCACCTGGACCCCTGTTGGGAGGAGCAGCTGCTCTTGAGAGGGTCGTGTGCCACCCAAGCCAAAGAACCAATCACCCAGATGATACAGCCTTTCTCCATGTCTTATTTCTGCGAGGAGGACAGCAGAATCTGCCCTTCCTGCCAGGAAGCACTCTGCCTCCTCCAGTGACGGAAACCACTGTCCCAGTTCAGCAGGTTATCAATCACACCCTTAACTCCACACACAAGACTGGTGGCCCTGCGAAGTTCTTGTGGCAGCGGGGTCAATCAACACCGTGGTTTGTTATTCAGGGCTCTATTTCCCTTGGAAATGTAAAGTATTTCCAAGTCTCTAAAACAACTGTTTGACTCTTCTTCAGTCACACATTATGCTACCTAATGCAAACTAACATTTTCTTTCCAAATAACTTCCTTCCTAAATATTGCTGACATGGAAGATAACACAAGTTTTATGTAGCGCCCTGTTTATTTTCACTGCATATTATGTTACTTCTCCATGAGCTGTAATAACTTAAATATACTTGTTCAACAAGTCCTAAGTTACAGAGCTATTTGCATTCAGCACAGGGGATAAGTAGCTCGTGCGTAGAAAATGAGAAAACTGATTTAGCAGCAAGCTGAAAATGGGGAGGTTAAGAAAATAACTTATCACCCACCAAGTTATTTTAAAGTGGATGAGTACGTAACTGGGGAATGCAGAAGATTATTGTCAGCCAGAGCTTCAACCTCTTCCAGTTTGATGCTGTGGGGGAGAGATGGGGAAGTTTTGAAGTAGCCTGCCTATATCTGAAGGGCATTTGATTGACTAAAAGACTGAACATGTTTAGTCAAGCTAAAAAACTTTGGTTTTCTCTTTCCTTCTGTCTCCCCCTTTGAGCCTTATTTTACAACCCTTGTATCAAATGTCTCATCGTTCCTGTCTCCTCCATGTTTGCTAAATGGGTATTAGAACATGAAATATCAACATGTTTCAGAGTAGAGCTGTGTTTTCTCTGATTCCTATTTTGTTTTAGTCTGGACTGTGTGCCACGTTTCCCACAACGTGCCACTGTAACGGGGATGTGAGGTTTGTAACTCTTCAGCAGGTCTCTTCAGGACAAACTTCAAGATGTAAATTTTGCGTGAGCAAACAGTTACACAAACCAGCAACATTTCTGCACACAAATGAGGGATTTCCGTATGCAAACAGAGGAGCAGCTAGTTACCTGATTTCATGCAAAGACCTTGTCTTTACGCTGAACAGAAGTTCTGCAGCCTCTTGTGCTCACAAGATACTTGCCATCTGCAGCAAACAAGTGCCTTTGTGTTCATGGGGTGAAACCAGGGAATATTCATCCTCTGTATCTCTCTAGTCTCATGTTCTTTCTCATAATTCAGACAATATCCTGAAAGAGCCCTCTCCGACCCGGTGAGATTCAGAGATCACCACATTCCTGCAATCACCACTGTGACAGGTGGTATGAACATTTTCGTATTTCTAAATGCACATTTTGATTTAGCTGGGGAGTGCCCCCCCTTCAGAAAGTACCTGCTTTGCACATGTTCAAGTACGTGCATACATTAATACCCAGGGTGGTTTTTGTTGTCAGGTTGTCCTTATCAGCAGCTGGTGACTCTATAAGGTCAATGACAAGGTGTAAAGGATGCGTTGCCATCTCTTGTCCCTCCAACTGTGCTGAAGACATTTCAAACACATGGGCACAGCACAGGTCACTCCACCCACCCCTTGCCCCTTAAGGCAGCCCCGTGCAGCCCCCGGCCACAGCTGAGGTTTCACAGTTTTCTTCCCAGCCAAGAGACTTCAAAATTTACTGTTAAAGGAAAGCTCAGGTTCCCAGGCAGCCCTTTGACAGGAAAAGCAGCTTCATAAAAAAACTGAAGCACTGAAAGTCTAGACTGTACTATCCAAAATACCAGTCAAGTACTCTCTCTGAGCCCCTGTCCATCTCTAAAGTGCTTTGGCATGAATCAAGGTTGGGAGAGGGGATACTCTGGCCACTATCTAGCTCAGCAGGGGTGTGACAAACAAGATTGTAGTTTAGCCAAGTGATCACTTCCCTTAAGGTGAAGGCTAGCCAGAGCCTACCTCCAGAAAAGTCAACAGGGTGGAATAAGTTGCTTTAAGTTGCTTTAAGTTGCAGGGAGGAGGAACTCTACAAGGAAGCACAAAAAGTGGCCACTGAACACCTTCCGCCCAGCCACAATGATCTGAAAAGACATAAATTCTTTTTTGGACTACCAAAAGCCATAAATACAAACATAAGCACTGCCTGACACGTGCAAGATAGATGCCCCCAACTAAAAGTTTACAACCTTAATGTTATCCACCAAACACTGGAGTTCTTCTTTACCAGTCCTGACAGTCACTAACAGAAATGATCTTATCTCCAGATCAACTAAAGCCCAAACAGGACTTTAAAGAAAGAAAGACTTAATAATCCTAAAAGCATCCTTTCCTGTTCTTGGGAATGAGAAGAGACTGAAACAAAAGGAGGCTCAAGGAACTTCTTTAACTGGCCATTAGAAACCTTAGGGTGAAAAATTAATAAATAAATAAACCATTAATAAGTAGATCTGTTCTCTCTAAGAAGATCTCAGCTGGGGAAACACTTTCCATACACACTCTCCCGCTCTCTCCTTGTCATATATATCAGGGAAATTGCCTGGCAGAAGAGAAGAGGTCAGGTTTATGAACTGTAAATGTTCATCTTCTTCTTCTTGTCATTTGCTGTGACAGTCTCCTACTTTGAATGTTTTGGTTCAGGTATCAGGGAGAGGCATGGGGAGGTGCCTGGTCAGATAAAACATCTTCACAGCACAGGAATCTTTTCCAAGGATCTTGAAAAGATCAGGAGAGGACCACAACAAATATTTTACATAAGCTGCTTCCTGGGGTTTGCTTTTTCCCCTTTTAATTCAGGCTTTATCTGTCATATCCTTCTGCACTGTCAGTGCAATTGCAAACTGTAATTCTCCCTGGACCGATGCTGAGGGAGAGGCATTTTACACAACAGAACATCTTTTTTAATCATGGCATGGAGTAAAAAGGGAGTTCAGCTAGAAAACAGTGCAGATGCTAAAAACCTGTTTTGTGGAGAGCCGGCGCCTCACTGCAGCCCCTCTGGGGGAACAGCCCAGTCCCCCGGGCAGCCCTGCTCCTGCCAAGCAGTGGGACACAAGCTCCCTCCACCTTCCCTAACTGCTGCCCCCTCCCTGAGTGCCATCACCCTAAACAGGGGAGGGGGTGCTAATCCCAGACACCTCTCAGGCAGCACGGAGGGCTGACATTTCTGCTCTTCTTGTTCAAAATAAGTAGAAGCAGCTGCAAAGTGGGGAGGCTCCCACCCGCCTCTCCCCGGGGGAGGCAGTTGTTGCTCTAACAGAGGGCCCTTGTGCAGGGAGCCTCCTCTACTCATTTTATTTTCAAGAACAGCCTAAAGCAGCCAAGCATCAGCCCCCACTAAGGTCTTCATGAGGGTTCCCACTTACCCAGCACGAGCAAGGCCCACAAAGGTGAAAATCAACCCTGACTGAGGAAGTCGTAACTGGCAACCCCTTCATGGGCCAAAAATGGCACTACCACCTCTGCACAGGAGCCACCAGACCACCACAGGCAGCTCTACCAAGACCTACACAAGCTGGGGACGTGCCCCCAGCCACACCACGTCCCTTTTGCTGGGCCACAGGCATCACTGCTCAAACGCAGTCCCCGCCAGCAGCAGGGCAGTGAAGACGCTGCATCACGTCCCCGTGCAGCCGCGTGGCGGGCGGGCGTCTTTATTTAGAACATTAATGACACAAATTAAACCTCCGCCCTCCCAGCTCCCAGTAATAGGCACCATCCGAATGTGATAAAAATAGGCAAGTGCGGGAAATAAAGCCGGTTAGCGACTTGAAAATGAACAGCTAATTTCAAAAAAAGTTTTCATACTCAGCAAAATAATTGAAGCAATGGCCAAGCAGAAAAGCCCGTTCTTTCCACATAATGGTGTGTGCTATGAATTTCTCCAAATTCTACAAGACTGTGGCTCAAAACAAGTATTTCACATCCTGACCGCAAAGACCTGCACAGCCATTTCATCTCCCAGATCATTCTCATGGCCATGTTTTCACCATAGCAAATCTTTTTCCAGCTAGTTTTGGTAAACTCCACTTCTGGTCACTTCTGCTTGGAGATGCTACAAGGGCCTGGTGATCGTTAAGTGCGGCACATGTGCCTCTGGGCCAGATTTGGAGAGCTAGCGGGAATTCTGCTGGATGAGGGAGCAGGCTTGTGAGTGCTGGGAGCACCACCTAGATCTTTGTCTGCTGAGCACAAGCTGGATCCAGATCCCACCCCAGGCCGTGGGTGTCTGTGCATGGACACCGCCAGCAGGGATGTGCTGGTTTGAACATTTTCCTCATCAGAAGGTGGGCACAGGGCCCTTGGGTGGTGGAGCTCACAGCCTTTGGAGGAAAAGCCTCCACAAAGTCACGGTGCTCAACCCCAGCACTCTTCTGTTCCGTTCTGCCGGCAGAATATCCGGCTTTGGGAGATCTCGCCTAAAATTCGCCGGTGCCGCTTTCCGAAGACGCCT